ATCGATCCTCTTTGAAAAATGAAGGACAAACAACATACATATTCTTTGCCTTTACAGTAATGGAATTAAAAGATGACTGAGAAATGCCCAGAATTGTGTCATTGGTATGTCATGGTGAGGGGGGAAACACACATTCCTGGAAGTTGATATTTAGGGTCCACATTATATAATAAATGATAGGAGAAGTCCAGTGAATAAAGGAAGGGGACAGGAGAGTGGCAAGAAAGAAAGTCATGTGACAATGAGTTGTGCTTTCTGACCTTTACTTTCATCACCGACTATATGTCTTTTGCAGCTGGAAATGTTACAGGAAGTAATGGGGTAATAGCCTTTCCTCTTTGCCAGGAAGCTTTCTTTGAAGGTAATGTTTTTCACTACAGGAAATCCCAAACATTCAGATTTGTCTGTATATAACCTTAGCTCACACAGTTCAGTGAGATGTCATGCTCAGAGTGGGGACCCTGATGCTCTGCCAACCCTAAAGTGCCTTCTGTGATTCCAAAGCCAGATGGGATCGTGTTCAGTAGAGTTTTTATCCTGCGTCCTTGTTAGGGCTGGGGGAGGAAGAGACAGAAGGTGTCCTTTTTTCTTCTTTTTAAATGTTTTATTAATGCTCTTTTCTTTTTCATACCATGTTCATGTCCCAATGATTCCTACTCCCCCCCTCCAAAGAATGCTCTCTTCTAAAAAATAAATACAATTCGGCAAAACAAATAAACATGATGGCCACATCTGAAAATATACGTGCCTTAATCTTTTCCTGTAGTATACCACCTCTATGCTGAGAGACAGGAAGCTGCTATACTATTGGTCCTCTAAAATTAGGATAGGTGACTGCATTGATCAACATCCTGAAATTTCATAGTGTTTTTTTTTTCCATTGCATGGTCATCATGTGAATTGTTCTCCCGGTTCTACCAGTTCATATTATTCTACCTAAGTTTCACTTAATTGCTTCTATTGGTATTTTTTAAACCATATCTAACACTTCACCAGTATTAAGAACTCCTTATGTAAAATTCCCTCAGTGTGGACAGTAAATGACTTGCCCATTGTCACATAGTCATATGGGTCAGAAGCAGGACTGGGACCCAAAAGTTTTCCTGAATCTGAGGCCAGCTAATCCTGCTAAGCCACACTGACTTTCTATCATTTCTTTCAGCACAAGAGTATCCCAACACAATCAGGTGCCATCCTTCTAACCTTGGATAAATATTAGGAATGTGTAGTAATCCTCAATGAACTAGGATGTATAATTAACCCAAACTCTCCATTCTTTGAACATACTCAGGCCTTTGGCCCTGTTCTTTCCTTACTTTTCTGCTTCCCCTTGGTCTCAAGAAAAATGAAAGCCTGTGTTATTATTATTATTGTTGTTGTGGTTGTTGTTGCTACTGTAGAGGGGACCTGTCTAAGGGAGAGCCCAGAGCACGCTACTCCCACCCTTCACAGAGTGAAGAGCAAATAGAACAATGCAATTGATGGTGCTTTCTTAGCGAAGAGGTGGGTTGGGTTAACTGACTATGAAGTAGTTTAAGGGTGAGTTTGAAGGAGAAAGGGGGAAAAAGAATCATTCAAACAACAAGCACTTGTTAGGGTCTTACTATGTGGCAGGTTCTGTGCTCCTCCCTGAGGATGAAATGAAAGGAAAACAAAAACAGCCCCCACCCTGAAGGAGCTTACCTACTAATCTATACATCTGTAAATTAGAGCATACAAAATAAATACAGAGTAGATGGAAGGGAGCTGTATAGGAACTGCATGATTTCATCATTAAGATGAAAGCTCAAGGGGTTAGGGGAACCAGGAAAGCTTCCAACAGGAGGTAACATTGCCGCTGCATTCTGAAAGTTGTCAGGGAAGTCAGGAAGCAAAGATGAAGAGAGAGATCATTCTTGGCATGGGGGACAGCAATGCAAAGTCATAGGAGACAGGGCATCCTATTTGAGGAACAGCATAGAAGCCAGCATCTGCAGCATGTGAAGAGGAGTCAAGTGCATGTCTGAGTCCAGGTTGTGAAGAGCTTTAAATGCCAAACAAAAGAACTGCTATTTGATCCTAGGGGTAATAGGGAGCCATTGGAGTTTACTGTGCAGAGGGAATAGCCCAGTCGGATTTGCACTAAGAAAATCACTTTGGCAGCTGTGTGGAGGATGCATTGGAGTGGGAAAAGACCTGAATCAAGGACACCAATAAAATTATTGCATGATTATTGTATTTATTGCAAGAGGTGTTGGGATGTTTATGAAAGGAACTGTAAAGAAAGAAATTATAACATTCAGCAACTGTTTAGATGTGTGGGGTGAGTGAGAAAGAGGAGTTGGAGATGACACTGAAGTTTCAAACCTGAGTGGTGGTAGCCTCCACAGTAATGAAATAGTTAAGGGGAGAGGAGGGTTTGGAGGGAAAGTTAATGAGTTCTGTCAGCAAAGGAGTCTGAGAAGGGGCTTACAGAGAGGAAAAAGGAGAGCCAAGGGAGAGCAAAGCTATGAAAACTCAGAAGAAAGAGTATCTAGGACAGGGGTGGGGAATCTGTGGCCTCAAGGCCACATGTGGCCTTCTAGGTCCTTGGGTGCAGCCTTTTGACTGAGTCCAAATTTTACAGAACAAATCCTTTTATTAAGGGGCCTCCAGGCTGCAGGTTTCCCACCCTTAATCTAGGAGGACAAGGTGATCAACAGAATCAAATGCCACAGAGAGATCAAGGAGGATAAAGACTGATTTGGAATTAAGGGGTTGTTGGTAATTTTGGAGAGAACACTTTTAATAGAACGATAATGTCAGAAGCTAGTACAGAGGGTTTGAAGAGAATGAGAGGAGAGGAAGTAGAGGCACATATAAGGAGTCTTTGAAAGGAGTTTAACCGAGAAGGAAAGGATGATAGCTACCAGGGATGGTTGGCTCATGTGAGGTGTTTTTGAGGATGGAGGGGAGATATGAGCATCTGTAGGTAACAAGGCAGAAGCCTGTAGATATCAAAAGATTGAAGACTAGAGAGAAAATAGGGATGACAGTGAAAGTAATTTGGTGGAGAAGATGAGTGTGGATGGGATCAAGGCTGCATGTTGTTCTTGGCAGGGAAAAGGGCCACCTTGTCATCAGAGATTGGCATGAATGAAGCCATAGTGAGGGATGAAGTCTGAGGGACTATTGCAATAGTTTTCTAATTAATCTCCCTGCTTCTAAGTGTCTTCCCTCTCCAATTCACCCTCTTAGGGATTTTCCTAAAGTATAGGTCCCCTTTGCTCAATAAACTCCATTAACTCTCTGTTACTTCTAAAATTAAATATAAAGTCCTTTGTTTGGCATTTGAAGCTCTTTACAGCCTGGCCCCTTCCTACCTTTCCAGTTGTCTTACATTCCACTCCCCTTCGTTAGTACCACAATGTTGCCAAACCAGCCTCCTTGCACACAGCACACCGTCTCCCATCTCCCATCGCCATGCCTTTATGTTGGCTGCTCCCCAGACCTACCTAGAATGCCTTCTCTCCTAACTTCTGACTTGTAGAACCCTTGGCTTCCTTTAAGATTCCAGTCAAGCACCATCTTCTCAAGCCTTTTCTGGTCCCCTCAGCTGCTGGTGCCATCTCTTCTAAAGTTCCCTTCCATCTATTCTGTATTTATCTTGTATGTTCTGATTTATATGTGGTACCCAGCACATAGAAAACTCTTAATAAATGGTAAATGGTTGTTTAATTGATTAATTTATTGGATCCTATTCCAACTCTTTTCTATTCCTATACTCCTCACAGTTTCTAAGAACTGTGCAGGCCCATAAAATTATTCTTATGAATTCTCCTTAATTAGTATTTAAGCTCCTGGAGAGTAGGGATTGTTGCAGCCTTGTCGTTGTGTGTTAGCATCTAGCCCAGTGCCTGGTACATAGCAGGCACTAAATAAATGCTTGTTGATTTATTGATGATAATAACAATAGCTATACTTCATATAAATCTAGCACTATCAATTTTCCAAAGTGTCCTGTTACCCATGATTTCATTTGTTCCCACATGGGAAGTTAGAGTTCTGTCCCAAGGATCCAACTATCCTTAGAATTTCCCAGGAGTAAATCCAGCCTCAGACACTTTCTAGATGTGTGCAAGTCACTTAACCGTCTGCCTCTTTTCTCTTCTGTAAAATGAGCTGAAGAAGGAAACGGCAAACCACTTCAGTATCTTTTGCCAAGGAAACCTCAAATAGGGTCATGAAGAGACAGACTTAACTGAAATGACTGAAACACAAACTGAAAAGATTACTTTTGGGGAATGACCTGTCCTTGTCACTAACCTAGGTTTCCTTATCCTCTGATGATTATAGGAACCTAATGATTTGTCTGCAAAGGGCCTGAAACTTAGCATTGTTGCAGCAAAAGCCAAAGCATCTCAATTTGAGGAAAGAAGACTGAGAATGAGGAGCTGGTATTCCCAGGTTTCAGTCTCCATTTATTGTGTGAGCTGAGGGAATTGTCATTCCCCAACAAAAACATATACACTGAAGCAGTGTGTTGTAGTAGAAGCACCACTGAATTCTGTGGATTGGAGTCCAAGATCTGATACTCACTAGCTCAGGCCAGTACTAGACCCTAGGGCTCAGCTTTCTTCTATATACAGCAAGATGACAATGTTAAAATGGGGGGCCTCCAAGCTTCCTTCATGTTTTAACATTCCAGAGCAGGAGTGGGGAACCTTTAGCCTTGAGGCCACACATGGCCTTCTAGGTCCTCAAGTGTGGCCCTTTGACTGAACTGAAACTTCACAGAAGAAATCCCCTTAATAAAAGGATTTGTTCTGTAAAACTTGGACTCAGTCAAAAGGCCTCACCCAAGGACCTAGAAGGCCACATGTGGCTTTGAGGCGGCAGGTTCCGCATTCCTGTTCTAGAGGTCACTGACTGACAGGCCTGAACAGAACATTCCACCCCTAGGAGGCCTCCCAAACTTCTCTGCCCACAGGGCTGAGGTATAGCGGCCCTTTTTATACCCACATACAATAGGACCAGAGATAGAAAGTTATTTAGTGAGTTTATTTTCATTTCATTTTGGAGGGGGAAAATGGGTAGAAAACACATCTGGGAGTATAAAAAGTCAGGTCTGTACAAATTCCTCTATCTACAGGCACAGGAAGGTGGGAGTATCAGTGGCAGCAGCTGCAGCTCTCGGTCTGGGGGGCTTTGCAGACACAGCCCTGGGCACACTTGGCACATCCTGCTGGGCAGCAGGAGCAGCAGCCTGAGAAGGAAAGACAGGAGGTGAGTGTGAGGGAACCTGGAAGGGCCTAGTCATAGGGATGTAGTTCAGAAGAAATGGAAGGATGCTATGTTATCAAGTATCCTAATGGGGAACTAAAGGGATTTTACATCCATACGAAAAGAGCACCACCTTAAATCTCACCTATGGATCTTCCGAGTTGATACTCAAGCATCTCTCTATGGTGGCAGTAAAGGGCAGGGTAGTTCCAGCCATAGAAAGTCCCTGTACCCCGCCTCCCACTCCCACATTCCCTCTTCTACTCACTTTTCTTGCAGGATTTGCATCGGCAGGATTTACATTTGCAGGAGCCTGCACAGGTACAAGAGTCACCTGGAGAGAGAGAAAAGGAAAGAAAGAAGTTAAGCAGAGAAATAGCCCAGAGTTCTGGATACATGTAGGGGTGGCAGGCACAAATTTGGGATTCTTCTTTATCTTTCATTCTCCAGTCTCCACCCTTAATCCCCTGCTTCCAGGGCCACCAAGAACCAGGCTTGAGATTTTCCCAGGCTTTCCTTAATGCAGCACCAAACAAGGTGTCCCCCTGGCTTTCTCTAGAAAAGTATCAGGAAGGAAACGGGTCCAAACTCAGATCATAATTATGCCCCATTATTGAGAGCCCCAAAAATCATAGCGTCTGCTCTTTAGGGAGCACATTTGTAGAAAAGCTGCTAAGGTCTGCTATCTGTATAAAAAAATCCCTTTTCAAGTTTACTCTTAATTCTGCGGCTCAGACTGTTAAGCACATTTATAGTTCAGAGATTTGGCTTTAGGACGCTGAGGAGAAAACAAAACTTTTTATTACTTCATTTAAAAAAGAAACCGTGACCCTCTGCACGCCCATAGCCTCTTTCCATCAAAGCCCACAGCCATCCTCCCAAATCAAGCCCAGCACAGAGAGGGGACCCCAGCTCAGTAGATGTCTCCAGAACCCAGGAGTCCCTTACCATTCTCGCAGTTACAGTTGGGGTCCATGGCTAGGCAGGTAGATGTCAGGCAAACAGGTCTCACAGGAGGATGGACGGAAGAATGATGTGAAGGTAAGAATCGCGGCTCCTCCTTTATGGTGAAAGGACCAGGAGAGTTGAGTGCAAAAGCTCCGCCCCTTTCCTCCTCCTTCTGCCCCTCCCCCCTCCCCAAGGCCAGCCTCCTGCACACAGCCCTGGCGTTGTGCTGACTCATTCAGTTTGTCTGTCTCCGGAGTACATTTCCAAAGTCCAGGAGTGCTGAGTGCAAATCTTTGGGCACGGCCACCAGATCCTGCCTCCCACACACAACAGGGGCTGTGTGCAGAGAACAGAACTCATGCTATCCCCCACCCCCTCGTTCCTGAATAGCCACTCAGTCCAACCAGTCCCTCACCCCCACATTCTCACCCATTATCACATTTATCATTTCTAGTCACATTTCCAGTTCTAACAAGAGACCCAAGTTTACTATAAAGGTCCCTGCTGTCCTTTCTGTCAGTGGAGATAAGGCCAGACTTTTCTATTCCCATAATTCTTAAGTATGCTTGACATTGAGTCCATTTTTCCTGCTAGAGACCCCAGGCAAAGCCCTGCCCCTCTGATTGTTCCCCTAGGGGCAGTCAGGGTCGAAGTTTCCTTCTTATCCATTATCCATCCAGATTTCTTTAGGAATAAGTTGAGAATTCCTGGAATAGGTTAGAATCCTCTTAAATCAAGGGTTCTAAGGTCTGTCCATGGACAGATTCCAGGCCTGGGTCCTTGAACCTGGATGGAGGGGAAAAAAATTATACCTTTATTTTCATGAACATCTAGCTGAAATTTAGCATTTCTTTCATCAATTTTTTAAAAAAATATATTATTCTGAGAAGAGAGCCATGACACCAAAAAAATTAAGGACCTCTGATCTTAGGGAGGACTTGGAAGATATGTTCAAAGCCAGTTTGGGGCTAGTGCATTCCTTGATTTGTATTTTATCTCATTTAAGTGAGTTTCTCTTCCTTGGTCAGGATCCTCTAGTCAGGTTACTACCACTCCTCTGTTTTCAAATCTAGGACACAGACTAATCCTGGCCCTTTGGGCACTGTGTCATAGGATCTAAGAGTTGAGAGAGAACTCAGAGAGCATCTAATCCAGGGAGTCTTAACCTTTTCTTGTGTCCCAGACTCTCTTAGAAGTCTTGGGAAGCCTTTTAACCCCTTTTCAGAATAAGGTTCTTTGAATGAATAAAACACAAAGAAATTCTACTGAAACACAGTTATTAAAATATAAGCACACAGACACCAGGTTAAGAATCCCCAAACTGCTGATCTATCCCCTCCCTGTCTCCCCTGGATTCCTTGCTTCTGGAGAAACCGGCATTAAATCATTCTTGCAACAGACATTTGCTGAGCACCTGCTTGTTAAGGAGTGGCCCTGTCCTTAATGGGGTGCTGAATATAGAGAAAAAAATAACCACAATCCCTATGCTCATGGTGCTTAAAGTCTAGCAGTGGAATGTGACATGGCAACAAAATTATCTGTAAAGTATGAACCTTTGAATTCTAACATGCTAAGATTGATGAAATATCTACAATGCGAGACAGTACAATAGCTCATAATGATATAGTAAATGGAGTTTTGCAAAAAGCGTTGGCCAATACAAACATAGAAGAGATCTGAGTCTGGATAGGGGACAGGGGGCTCTGTAGTTAATCACGTACACTTATTGAAGGAAAGAATTTGGGACCAGGGAGTAAAGCCCTGACAGGGCTGAGTTGGGGGAGGGGTGGTATGCCTTGCTTCACCCTTCACACACACACACACACACACACACACACACACACACACGTCCATGAAGTAATAATAATAGTAATTGTTGGTATTCAGTTGTTTCAGTTGTGTCTGACTCTTTGTCACCCATTTGGTGTTTTCTTGGCAAAAATGCTGGAGTGGTTTCCTTTTCCTTCTCCAGTTCATTTTACAGATGAGGAAACCAAGGCAAATAGAGTTAAGTGGCTTACCCAGGGTCACACAGCTAGTAAGTGTCTGGGGCCAGATTTAAACTTAGGGAGATGAGTCTTCCTGACTCCAGCCCTGGCACTCTAGCCATTGTACCACCGAGTTACCCCCAAAATGATAGCTGATATTTATATGGTGTGTGCCATATTTATTTGCCAGGCACTGTGCTGAACACTTTACAGATATTATATCATTTAATCCTCACCATTTTTTTAAATCTCCATTTTACAGAGGAGAAAACTGAGGCAAACAGAAGTTACATGACTTGCCCAATAAGGTCAAATTTGAACTCAGGCTTTCCTGACTCCAGGCCCAGAACTCTTATCATAGTGCCATCTATCTTCCTAAAAAATTAGCAAAAGGGGCTAGTTTTTAAATCATCCTCTTTAAGTATAGCTATAGGTACTCTAAATTTGAGATCCTTGACCTATAGCTAACAAATAAACATACTACTGGAGGAGATGAATTATATCAATCCTAGCATTCTTGCTATGAATGAAACTACAAAGAAGTTTCAGCTAAAGGGAAAGAAGAATCATAAGATACTCCTTGGAGGGTCAAAGAAAGAAGTTATTTGAGTTAGATTTATCATAAGCCCAAAGCCAAAAAGAAACAATTCATGGGACCTTTGATCATCTCATATTGTGGTATCTATGACATGTATCTAAGAAAAAAAGGACCATGAAAATGGTTATAACATCAATTGCAGGGGATGAAGAGGTAAATTCTTTGAAGGCCTCCACAAAGCCCTCCAAATTAAATCTGCATACAATCTGATACTTGGTGACTTCAGTGCAAATGTAGAAATAGACTAGATGAAGAAAGTGAAAAATATATCTGGGTCAACATTCATATTTTGAATTCCAGTGGAAAGTTGCTCTCCCCTTTCTCCCTCAGAAAAATGTCTCAGGGCCATTCCCTTTTGCAATGGAAATAATTTAGATAGAAATAGCGACTTGAACTTTTTAGGAAATAAAGATAAATTAGAATACTTTGAGTGTTTATTTCTATCTTACTTCTGCAGTTTATTGCAAATTCACTATTTTGCCTTGACCCTTAAACTCCTGGGAAAATCTCTTCTTGTTTCTCAAATTATAATAATGTACATCTCTAATCTTAAAGTAGTTTCTTTCATGGCACCCTAATTCCTGGGACTGTAGATAACAGATTTCTACATCCTGAAACCATTCTCATCCTAAACTGGCTGTATCATCTAGTCAGTCACTGACCTAGAATATCCAGGACCCGAAAATCTGAAATAATTCTGCAGTGCATCAGAGCTGGAACTTTTCTGCATATCAATCAACCAATCAATTAACAAGCATTTCTTAAGCACCTATAGTCTGAGAATTCAAAAATAAACTCTCTCTTCCTAACTTCCCTATTACTATTGAGGGGACCACCATCCTCCTGGTTACCCATGCTCACAACCCAGATGTCCTCCCTGATTTTTTATTCTCTCTCATTCCCCAATGTCCCATCACCGGTCAAGTCATCTCCTCTCCATTTTTGTAACATCTTTCATATATGCCCCCTTCTCTCCACTGATATGGCCACTACCCTGATGCAGGCCCTCATCACCTCATGCCCAGACTATTGCATAGCATGCTGGTGGGGCTGCCTGCCTCAAATCTCTCTTAACTCCTGTCCATTGTCCACTCAGTTGTCAAATTAATCTTCCTAAAGTGCAGGTCTGACTATTCACCCTGACTCCCACATCCATGTTCAATCAACTCCAATGGCTCCCTATTAGCTCCAGAATCCAATATAAAATCCTCTGTTTGCTTTTAAAAGCCCTACATAACCTGGCCTGCCCCTGCCTGTCCAGTCATCTTATACCTTACTTCTCCCCCCACCCCCTGCCACCCTCAGAGTTTAGCCATCCCCCACTGCCTTATTTGGTGCTGCAGTCAACCTGAGTCTCCCAGGAGTTATCACCTCCTCCACTGCCTTCCCTCCCACTAGCTCAAGTGGGCCCTCAAGACTGTGGGCTTCTCAGGGAGCTGGGGGAGAGCCTTCTTTGGTGCTGCAACTCCTGTTATCTATCAGGGAATTACTACCTCTCTCTCCCTCACCCAGCTGATCTGAGCAGGGAGGCCCTTCGGATAAATGGAGACTCAGCTTGGGTCACAGCCCTGAGGAGCATCCCCTTTCAGCTCCAGACTTCCTGAAACCTCTACTAAAACTGGGAAGAATAGCCTTCGATGAACCTCATTAAGATATGATGTGGCTTGTGGCTTCCTGGATTTCTTTATCACAAAATCACCCATGTAGAAGACAAACTCACTAAATATGGCGAGAAACTGAATAAGAGAATCTGATCTATTTCCCTTTGCAAGCATTTTATTCAGGAACTCCAAAGTAACCATAACTCATTTGCAAGAAGGAATAGGGCACTAATTTAATGGAAACTAGGTGCACCTAGGTGGCAAAATGGATGGAGTAGAGGCCTGGAGTCAGGATGTCTTCCTGAATTCAAATCCTGATTCAGACACTATCTGTGTGATCCTGGGCAAGTCACTTAACCCTGCTTGCCTCAGTTTCCTCATCTGTCAAATGATCTGGAGAAGGAAATGGCAGACCACTCCAATATCTTTGCCAGGAAAACCCCAAATGGATCATGGAGAGTCAGATATGACCGAAATAACTGAACAACAAAACAGCGATTGAGATCTAGATCCTCATGATGAAATCACCAAGCCTTGAATGCAGGCAAATACGACATGCCTTTTCCTATATCTGCACCCATACACATCTGGACAGGTGCCAAAGATGGACAATCTGCCAGAATAAAGTAGAAGGTCTCAATTATATTGGTTCATCTTTGGGAAATGGTGTCACCTTTCATTGATGAGAACCTCTAGCTTCTATAAAAGCCACTCTTTTCCTTTAACACTGACATTCTCCACATGGTTGTAAACTATGAATAGTAATGAACATTTGTAGAACACTTTTGTATTTGTGATGCACTTTGCTTCTATGATATCATTTAGCCATTCTCTCCCTTTAGGGATTTGAAAGGACAAAGATGGAGAGCAGGAAAGGAGAGCTCAGGCCCCCATTGCTGGTCCTAGTGCTCATCCAAGCACCCACTAGAGTGCC